TCCCTTGTTTAATTTTATAGTTTGGATTTATCAGGTACGTATACAACTCTGCTTGTTGTTTCTGCTACCTGTTACCTGTCCTTATGTCTGTTTTTCATAAGTAGGGTTGGGATATCTACATATTAAGGTAATTTTGTTTGCTACATTGGGTATCTACAAGTTTATTCAAAATACATTTCATTGGATAATCAACCTGTTCGATTCTGTTTTTCTCTCGTTTCAGTTTCCAGTCCTTCAGCACTATCTGGTGTGGCGCTTCTTCGTGGATGGTGGACATTGACTTATTTTCACTCCATCAACGCTATCCGGTTGACAGTTCTTCTCAGACGTTGGACATTGCTGTATTCATCGTATCTGGACTTCGTTGCTTCCCATTATTTTTTCTGCTTTTTTCTGTTTTGTCACAGCTTGAAAGAGGAAATGATGCAATGGGAAGGGGGTTTTATAGTACCTAACTTTTTTCTGATTGTTTTTTTTTCTGTGCTGCTGTGGAGTTCTAGTAAAGAGAAACTAAAGCAAATACTCGCCTCCTGTCATCAGGGCCGGATTAAGAGCACAGTGGGCCTGGTGCTGACAATTATGATGGGCCTAATTACAAAATCCTATCGACCAAAAACACTAAGACAATCATACCTCCCAAGCGTCATGTATCTGATGGAGATGGTGCTGGAGGGAAACTCATAGGATGCAGCTATAAGAAAACACATACTCTATGCTAATTTCTCTCTAATTTATGCTTTCATCTTTCAAGTACATCCATAACCCCTAACAGCAGTGTCCAGTGAAGCAGGAAGTCAATGGGCGGGATAAAAGGGTGGGCCACTGGCGCGAATCACGTGACAAGACCTGCAAAAAGGGGTGAACATGCCCAAAAAGCGGGCATGTTTGTCCAAAGAATTGGAAGGTCTGCCTGCCAATCCTGCAGGCTGTCCAACTAAGGGCATACTATGCAGGCAGCACCTTGAGCTTGACATAAATGTGTCTAATGATGCGCTCACTCCATTCTTTCTAAGGACTGTCCCCTAGCACTCGCTGGTCCAATTGTCTCCTTACCTTCTTACTAGCAGGCAGAAGTTCCTGGTATATAGTCTGAGACAGAGAAAAGGTGTCTGTAGTGAGTGTAGAAGAATGGGGACATGCCACAGTGTTAGAGAGACCAACGTCTGCATTACCTACACTAGCCAGTGCACACAAGTTTTGTTCCCATACATCCCTCTTAAGCTTCCAAACTTAAAGGGACACTATAGTCACCAGAACAACTACAGCTTATTGTATTTGTTCTGGTAAGTAGAATCATTCCATTAAGGCTTTTTGCAATAAACACTGTCTTTTCAGAGAAAATAACTCCACTGGCCTTTCCTTAGATGGCTGCTAGAGGTGCTTCCTGGGGCAGTACTGCCTAGTGTGCAGCACTGCCATTCAGTGTCTCCACCCCTCTGCATGCAGACACTGAACTTTCCTCATAGAGATTCAATTTATCTTTATGAGGAGATGCTGATTGGGCAGGGCTATGTTGGACTTGTGCTGGCTCTGCCCCTGATCTGCCTAGTTGACAGTCTCAGCCAATCCTATGGGGAAGTATTGTAATTTGCTCAGCCACCACTTCTGAGCCAGCAGCTGCAGAATTGAATACAAGTAATATTTTACTATATTTAGGGAGGCAAGAAGGGGCCAGGGTGGTGGTTTTAACATAATAGGGTAAGAAATACATGATTGTGTTCCTGACCCTATAGTGCTCCTTTAAGCAAGAATATGTGAAGAGTAGTTAGGGTTGCCACCTTTCTTGGAAAAAAAATACCAGCCTTAATCATTTGTATAATTAATTAGTTATGCGTGACATCACATGATGTAAATCACAAGGATTGACATCAGAGAAAATTCTGTAAAATCACCAACAAGCTACTCACAGTTTGATTCTGCTGTATAGATGGATTGCTCCCAGTGTCTCCCTGTGTCTCAGTCTCGCAAGTCACCCAGTGTCCCTATGTATCACAGTGTCAGTGTCCCCATGTCGCCCAGTCCCCTAGTCTCCCAGTGTCTGTGTCCCCATTTCTCCCAGCGTCCCAATGTCTCAGTGTGTCCCCATGTCACTAGGATACTGGGGACACTGAGAGAAATGGGGACACTGAGACACTAGGGACACAGACACTGGGAGACTAGGGGACACTGGGAGACTAGGGGATACTGGGAGACTAGGGGATACTGGGAGACTAGGGGACACTGGCTTGGAGACAGACACTTGGGGAGACATGGGGACAGTTGTGGACATAGACATGGGGACACTGGGACACATGGGGATACTAGGTACACTGAGAGACATGGGACACAGACACTGGGAGACTTGGGGACACTGAGACATTAGGGACACTGGCTGGGGGACATAGTGTCTCCGTGTCCCAATGTCTCCCAATGTCCCTATGTCTCACAGCATCCCCATGTGTCCCCTAGTGTATGTGTCATCATGTGTTCCCTAGTGTCTGTGTCCCCTAGTGTCTCAGTGTCCCCATATGTCACCTAGTGTCTCAGTGTCCCCATGTGTCTGTGTCCCCATGTGTCCCTGCTGCCTTCCCCCCTATCCCTCACTTACCTGAGCTGTAGAGCTGCTGTCTGGACTCTCTGTGCTGTGTAGCTGCTCCCCCACGGATCAGTGAGTAGTAGAGAGAGGCAGGGATATTCTCTAACTTCCTATCCCTGCCTCTCTCCACACACAGTGACCCCTACTGGCCGGTGCTGGTATTGCAGAGTAATTTCCATTTATTCTGAGAAAATTACCTGCATTTGTATTGCTGGTATTACTGCAATACTGGCAGGGCCAGGCAGCCTCAAATACCGTCTGTGCCATTAAAATACCAGTCAGGTGGCAAACCTAATAGTAGTGTGTAAAAAAAAAAAAAAAATTTTTTTTTTTTTTTTTAAATGGGCCTATTCCATGGGCCTGGGCCTGGAGCTGCAGCTCCATCAGCCCCTATGTTAATCCGGCCCTGCCTGTCATTAATAAAATTAAGATTATAGGTACACTAAAGCTAGCATAATCTACAATTTCTTCAATACTCCTGACGATCTCTACTCTTGAATACCATTCTGCCAGTGGTGGGGCGGTTTGTTGCCTCCAATGTTTGGGTATCAGGGCTTCATCAGCTGATAGTAAGTAATACTCTATTGAGTTATGGTATGGTTTGATAGGCTTATGGGTCAGGTGTAGAAAGATTTCAGCAATGAGCTGAGGTCTCGGAATATTGGCCACTTGCGATATTATTGAGAGAATGTGTCCAATACCCTTGCAAAGTTGCACATTCCCACCACAAGGGTCTATAGGTGCCTATCACTGCATTACACCTCCAGCACTTGTTTGGTACCATCGGGTAGATTTTGTGTAGTCTTTGTGGCGTTTTATACCATCTTGTGAGAAGTTTGTAATTGGTCTCAACCATGGATATGTTCATGTCGTTCCTGTGAGTGAGTATAAGTATTTTGTCCCAGTCCGATGTTGTGAATGTGGTGTTTAAGTCAGTAGCCCCGTCGGTCATGTATTTGGGTAAGGTTTGCCCTGCAGCCTCTTGTATGATTGAGTATATCCACGACAATGCTTTATGTAGTGGGTGGTGTTGGGTACACCATGTTTCGAATTTAGTGCTTTGAAGGGCTCCGCAATATCAGTCTACAAGATACTGTTCTCTCCTGGTGGTCCTCCTACCTCTCCCAGCGCTCTATCAGTGTTTCTTTCTCTGGCTCTGCTTCTTCTCCCCAACTCCTCTCTGTTGGTGCCCCCCAAGGTTCAGTCCCCTACTGTTCTCCATCTATACTGCCTCCCTTGGTAAACTAATTCGCTCCTTTGGCTTCCAATATCATTTCTATGCAGATGACACGCAAATCTACCTGTCCTCTCCTGATGTCTCCCCGTCCCTCTTGACTAGTGTCTCTGACTGCCTCTCTGCTGTTTCTAACTGGATGGCTGTCCACTTCCTTAAACTAAACTTGACCAAAACTGAAATTCTGGTCTTTCCTCCCTCTTTCCTTTCCTCTCCTGTGTCTGTCTCCCTCCAAGTCAACGGTGCTACCATCAGCTTCACCACTCAGGCTCGATGCCTAGGTGTTCTTTTTGACTCCGACCTCTCCTTCAAGCCTCATGTTAATCTATCGCCAAATCCTGTCATTTCCATCTAAAAAACATTGCGCGCATCCGCCCCTACTTATCGCCAGATGCGATTAAGGTGTTGGTCCATTCCACTTTCCTTTCTCGTCTTGACTACTGTAATCCGTTTCTCAGTGGTCTTACGTGCTCCCAACTAGCGCCGTTACAGTCCGTAATGAATGCAGCGGCAAGGCTCATCTTCCTGTCCGCACGCACCTCCCATGCCTCACCCTTCTGTCAATCCCTACATTGGCTTCCTATAAAATATAGAGCTCAATTTAAAATTCTGGTTCTTGCTTTCAAATCTCTACATAATGCTGCTTCCACCTATCTATCCTCCCTAATACACAAGTATGTCCCGTCTAGGCCCTTACGAACTGCTGAAGACTTACGTCTGTCTTCTGTCTGTACTCCCACCCCTGATGCTTGCCTTCAAGATTTCTCGAGGGCTGCACCGTTCCTGTGGAACTCGCTTCCCTCCTCCATTAGATGCTCACCCAGTCTCCACTCCTTCAAAAAATCGTTAAAAACCCACTTCTTCATAAAAGCGTATCACTTAAACTGTTAATAGCTCCTGACTGATTCCTCTTCTGCAACTGTCACTAGTCTAATACTTTCCTTACCTTTTTGTGTCATTTTACCCCACTCCCTCTAGCATGTAAACTCACTGAGCAGGCCCTCAACCCCTTTGTTCCTGTGTGTCCAACTTGTCTGGTTACAACTACATGTCTGTTCATCCACCCATTGTAAAGCGCTGCAGAATTTGACGGCGCTCTATAAATATCATCATCATAATAATAATAATAATAATAATAATAATAATAAGGGTTTTGTCTATCAGGTTTAGTGATGTTATTAGTTTAGTAAGCTACTGGTACTGGAACTTGTCCAGGAATGTTGGGTTGGCGTTACTGCATAGTGTTGACATAGGTACTATCTCCCCATTCTGGACCACTTTCATGAGGGATACGTACTGTAGGAGTGTAGGGTGTGGCCACTGGAGTCCCCATTTTCCGGCCGGGAATTCTGGGTTGTGCATTATTGGGAATAGAGGGGATATTGGCCCAGTAAGGGCAAAGTATTTCGCATATTTTTTCCATAAGAAAGTGGGCTTATTGTGGGATGTTGCTTTTGAAGGATGTGAGAGATCGGTGTTGCCTGCCATGGGCGTGACGCTAGTGGGTATTCTGTCCATTCTTGCTCTAACTGTTTCCATTGTTTAGACTGTCCTTATTGCACCAATCTAGAATCCTGGTAAATTGTGTCACTATGTAGTAGTGAAACAGGCTGGGGAGTCCAAATCCTCCTTGTCGCTTTGGTCTAGTGAGTGTTTTGAAGGAAAGTCTAGGTCTCTTTCCAAACCAGATATAGTCAGTGTGGCAGTTTGCCATGAGTTTTTGGAGGGGCCTGCTTGCCCGCTTCCTGCCCTGTGACTATGGCCCCTGGGATGTATTGCCCTTTAAAAGCGTTATTTGGGCATAATGGATTTTATTACACTGCTCCTGGCCCTTTAATTCCTATCGAAAGGATCTGTACTTTTAAACTGGCACTTCAGATGATGCCGAAGTGCTGAAGTAGTCGAAGTGGCCGCCATTCGACATATACGAACACGTGGCGGTGGCTATTGTAATTCAGCCGAACGTGGTTAGCGGTATTTTGACATTGAGTTCATGGAACTAATATTGGATACTCGACGGCATGAACACTGCTGAAGACTACCTTCTTTTGGAATGTTTACATTTCAAATAGAGTTGAACGGTGTTCAACAATTCGAACGCCACATTAACATTGCCATTTGCACAAAGGACACCCGCTCGTTCATTCGAACGATATTTGAACTGGGATGAATAGACCGGCCGCACAGCCCAAATGTCTAGAACTCCACTTAATAAATGTGTCGTCTTTGATTTTGTGAGAGCGGCAGGAGAGTGAGGGGAGTCTACCGATCTTGGGTATTGTTAAAGGGATATATAATGGTTCCGGGTTTGTATGTGGTGTTTTGTGCCTTCTCCCTCATTTTAACTATAAGGTGTATTAATTCTGTGAGGCACTGTGGGCATGGTCATATTTACAGTGAGAATTTCAAGCATAACATCTGATTTTATACGCTTAATAGGAACTTAACCCCTTAAGGACACATGACATGTGTGACATGTCATGATTCCCTTTTATTCCAGAAGTTTGGTCCTTAAGGGGTTAATAAAAACGCAATAACAGTTGAAGGTTTAGCTATACATCACATTTTCTCCTTTGCAGTAGGCTGCGCTGTGGGCGTGTTCATATTTACAGTGGAAATTGTGAGGATAATGTCTAACAGTACATGCTTAACAGTATCTTAATAAGAACTTAACAGTTATGGGTTTAGTTATACATCACATTATCTCCTTTAGAGTGAGCTGCAGCTTTTGCTGCCGTCTGGGATCTGTGTGGACCAGACTGTTGCCATTTATGTTCAGTCAGGGTGGTGAGGTCCGTGATCCTATATAGCACTCTCCTGATTTCCTAATGGGGTCTTTCTTTTCTTAGATCCTTGGGGTTGTCTGCGTCTCTGTGGCTGTGGTGCCGTGAGGTAAGTGCCTATATCTGTGTACCAGTCCTGTACTGAAACTTCTTGTAGCCCTAGTGCTTGTGTGAAGACTTTATCAGTGAAGATCATGACTGTGGTTTCGTTTGCAGTAGCAGAAAGGGAGAATGGATAACCCCTGATCTGAGTTGGCTCGTGACAGGTGTGAGGGCCCTTCTGCCTTGTATTGTGATCCAGGATAGCTCCTAGTATATCTGGACTGGGCGTTCTTGAAAATGTATAGCCGGGGTGTTTCTGGCTTGCTTCATTATGGCTTCTTTAAGCAGGAAGTCATGTATGCAACATATTATGTCACGTGGGAAGTCCTCCACTTTGTCTCTGGGACTCAATTCCCTGTGTGCTCTGTCCATTTTAATGCCTGTGTCTCCTGGTCTCTCCAGTATTACATAGTTACATAGCTGAAAAGAGACTTGCGGCCATCAAGTTCAGCCTTCCTTACATTTGTTTTTTGCTGTTGATCCAAAAGAAGGCAAAAAACCCAGTTTGAAGCACTTACAATTTTGCAACAAGCTAGGAAAAACATTCCCTCTTGACCCCAGAGTGACAGTCAGATTTATCCTTGGATCAAGCAGCTATTACCCTACAGTGAAAGATTATTATGAATATTCTGTTTTTGCAAGTATGCATCTAGTAGCTGTTTGATGATTATTGGAAAGGAAAAGAACATGATTATTGTTCTTTTCCTTTGCCTTAGACGAAATCTCCTTTCTTTCAGAATAAGATGTACATCTTCTGGGCCTGATATGGGTTCTGGTATCCCTCTGACCCTAACATTATTCCTTCTCCCCCTGTTATCTATGTCCTCCATGTATCTGTGTAGCATTATAATGTTGGACAGGTTCTTACTGGTTTGTTGCTGTATGTCCGGTATTTGGGAATCATGGTATTCCAGTGTAGACTCTATTTGCTGTACCCTGGCATCAAGGTAGCCAAGGCCTGCTCCCAGTTCGGAGATCTTTGTTTGTATAAAGGTGTCAAGCTCGGCGAGCATTTGTGCAATGTCATCCTTGGACGGTAAGTTTATATCTGTGTCAGGAATTGCAGATGCCTCTGACAGACACAGGCTGGTTTGTGATGCCGTCGGAGATTCCCCTGCGGGACGCCATGCTGGATCTGGAGGCCTCCGGATCGCCCTCAAATTTCTCGGTGAAATATTTGTTTAGCGGCTGATATCTTGAGCCCGTGGTGTTCTTTGTGTCTTTGGCTTGTGTGGAGTCTCTTTTTTTGTTCCCCATATAGCAGGATGGCAGTGATACTTGATGGATTAGGCTCACCCAGGATCAGAGCTGTTGCCTTACATGTTTGCTCCCATGGCCGTGCGGACACGCCCCTCCCGCCCCCCCCACTCTGATCTATTATTTTAGTTACCCAATCAATAATTAGTTTGGCATGATCTCCCTGAAGTAAACCCATGTTGTCTCTGATCTTGAAATCCATGTGTTTTTAGATGTTCAACAATCCTATCCTTTAACATGGTTTCCATCACTTTCCCCACTACTGAAGTAAGGCTTACTGGCCTATAGCTGCCCGACTCCTCCCTACTACCTTTCTTGTGAATGGGCACAACATTCGCTAACTTCCAATCTTCTGGGACTACTCCTGTTAACAATGATTGGTTAAATAAATCTGTTAATGTTTTTACTAGTACACCACTAAGCTCTTTTAATAACTTTGGGTGTATCGCATCAGGCCCCATCAACTTATTTGTCTTTACTTTTGACAGTTGAAATAGAACCTCTTCCTCTGTAAATTCACATGTAACAAATGACTTATTTGTCCTTTTTCCTAACTGAAGCCCCTTTACTTCATTTTCATCTGTAAATACAGAACAAAAATATTCATTGAGGCAATCAGCTAGACCTTTATCCTCTTCTACATTCCTTCCTTCTTTTGTTTTTAGTCTAACTAATCCTTGTTTTACTTTTCTTTTCTCATTTATGTATCTAAAAAAATGTTTTATCCCCCTTTTTTACTGACTGTGCTATTTTCTCTTCTGTGTGTGATTTGGAAGCTCTTATAACTTGCTTAGCCTCTTTCTGCCTAATCTTATAGATCATTTTGTCTTCCTCACTCTGGTTTTTTTTATAATTCCTAAATGCTAACTTTTTGTTTTTAACTATTTTGGCCACATCTGCAGAGTACCACAGTGGTTTCTTAATTTTTTTGCTTTTACTGACAAGCCTAATGCAATTTTCTGTTGCCTTCAGCAGTGCAACTTTGACATAATCCCATTTCTCCTGGACTCCATTTAAATTGCTCCAGTCTGACAAGGACTCCTTTATGCATATTCTAATTTTAGAAAAGTCTCTTTTTCTAAAGTCTAAAACTTTTGTTTTTGTGTGGTGTGACCCAGTCACTGTTCTTATATTAAACCACACTGACTGGTGATCACTGGATCCTAAACTTTCACCTACAGTAATATCTGATACCAAATCTCCATTTATTAACACTAAATTTAGTATGGCCTCTTTACGAGTTGGCTCCGCTTTGACTTGTTTTAGAGACAATCCCAGTAGGGAGTTTAGAATATGTGTGCTCCTGGCACAAGCAGCTATTTTGGGTTTCCAGTTCACATCAGGAAGATTAAAGTGACCCATGATTATAACTTCCCCCTTCATTGTCATTAAATATATGCTGGTTTAATTTAATTATTTCTAAAAACAGAAATATACCTGGATAATGCTGATGAGATTTCAGAATTGTGGAATCATAATTAGCAAGACGAAATACTATAATTGAGGATTTCAAACTGTAGCTGAAATGAAGGAATTATATTGATTTTCCAAGTTAAGCATATCAAGGTATTATCCTGAGATATTAGACACATCCTTAATAATTCATGGATAAGTCTTGAAGATATTAAGACATTGCAGTGAGTTGTAATCTTGTTAAATACCGAATTAAAGTGATTGTAAGGCTTACAATTTTTGTGGTTACTGGATGGTGATAAAGAATGGTTAATTGATTCCTGTGTGAGATGATTAAACTTTGTGTTTTGTTATGGAATGCTTAAAGTGCTTACTGGGAGAATTCAGGAAGCAGTGAACTTAACTGTGCTGATCTTATCTAACTAACCTGTAGCATCAGTTAATGGCTCTGTTCTGCTTTCTGTGTGATATTTTTCTAATCTATGTTGATACAATGTCAGTTACGTTCTAGGGGTGATATATGAAGTTTCATCTGTATAATTCCTTTGGAAATGAATTTTGACATTGTTGAATACTGTTACTAATAGCCCATTGATTATTCATGTGTACTAAAATCTGTACTGTTACTTGCTAAGTAAGCTGAGTCGCTGACCCCTACTGGTAGATAATTTATGCATGGACTGATAACTCACAACCCTAAGCCAAGTGATTTAGAAATCATCTCTGTTGTGGTTATTGTTTCCATAGATTTGTCACATTTAATGCCTATTGCTATACCAAATTTTTACTTATTATTGTCATGCATGTTACATATTTCTATAATCGGTTGTGATTAATGTGTGAAATATAAATCCTCTAACAAACATGCTCCAGGATCTATAAGAGTTAAAATCATGAGTAACTCTTAGCTTTAAACCAATCAAGGGGATACAG